CCCACCCCACACACTTTGTCTTCCTTTTCCACTGCCCTTAGCGAGCGAGTATACACACACACACACACACACACACACACACACACACACACGCACAAACGTGTAATATCTGCTGTATATATATACACACATAATATGTTATATAGGTGCCTCACTTATTATATAACGCACAGTGATTTTAGCCGTGGCGGCGGCTGTTGCGGGCTTGCGGTGAGACATTCGGTTACGATTAATTAACGTCGCCGTGCCGCATAAGCTTTGACCCTATCGCCGCAGTGGTAAGGTACCTCTTTCCGTCGAATTTCTATCGTTCTTATTATTAAGTAATAATATCGCCGTCGCTTCTCCGCCATAGAATATTAAAATTAAATTAAATAACACGAATTGAAAAAAAATAATAATAGTTGAAGAAACATATTAAAGCACAGTAAGAATCGCAGATAGGAAATTTGAAAAAATCTGGTTTTTTTTTAATTTGCTACTTTTCACGCTCCCATTTCTCTTCCTCTTTCGCTGTGTATGTTCCTTGTCTGAATAAGACCATACGTAAAACGAAAACAAGTTATACTGTGCAATCATTGCCTATTCTGTTAAACTCGTCGGTGAGCTTGCAGTATTCATGATTAAATTCCAAGGTTTTAACGATCGTTGAATTAAAAATGAAAAATTCATAAGATCCGCATTCTATTGAAATATAGTGTATCAACTATTAATTAAAATATTATGTTGTAAATTACTAAAAAAACATTAATTTAATTTAATAAGATGCTCCATGCGATGTATCATATAGAGTGAGTATTATAATTATTAAAAAAAACTCAAACGTAGTGTATGTGAAAAACATTTTGAATTGCAATTGACTTGTGCAGATTCCAGCTAACAGCTAACTGCAGTCTGCAGGTAACAAAACGTTATTTATTAATGAATAATTATAATTTCATCTGAGTTCACATAGATATACATAGATATCTGTACACTTTATAGAATTCGTTTTATTTTTTGTACTGTGGAAATTGTCATTTATTTCCAGGCATATGTTGAACGTTTCTCCGGTGGCCATTATATTATTTATAATATGAATGTGTTCTAGAGGATGGCTTGTGCAGTGCATCATAATTATATTATGGGCCCAAGATTTTCAGATGAAATCATTACGGTACACTGTGCAGTGAATGGAGATAATAAAATAAACGCTGTAAATGGTAGATATGCGGTATTAATATGAAATATGTATTGTATACACTGATATTACAGTAAGCGTATGTGAGCAAAAGTATAGAATTTTATAAGTTTGTATAATTGGTGTATTCAAGTCCAAAAATAAATTACTTTTTTATTTTTTATATTCATGTACATATGTATATTTGTATAGATAAAAAACGTACGGGTGTTGAAAGAATTTTATGTTTTCATATTTTTCTTACACTATAAAATTATTTTCATTCATAGGCGTCAATTAAAATGGCATGCAACAACAGCGAGTTTGATTATATTGTGAAGCAGCAACTCTTGAAATAATATTACATTTGATTTGATAAAACATATAAAACCGTTATTTCTCTATACTTAAACGATTGAATGTAATAGTATTTTTTAAAAAATGTTATTGAGTCAATGACGTACACTTCACTCAGTAATAACTAATGAATAGAGTATACATACTACTCTACATATACGTAGGTACAATTCATATATTATGCAATGTGTAGGTAGTGTGTGTCTAAAAAGTTTTTAATCGTTTTCTACGATTATATTTTAACATGACGTGTAGATTATTTTAATACATTTCAGACTAAATGTGTATACAAAATATATTAACAAATTAGAATCTTTAGAATCACTGGTTGATTAAAATATTGTTAGATTTTGAATTTATATAGTCATCCGATGACGTCTGATGATAACGAATTATTTTTTGTTTTTTCTGTTCGCAGACAAATGCCGACTAAAATAATAGCATACAGCTATACAATAGACATTTCTTGTTCGCTCACGAGGGCTTACGAAAAATAAAAATAAAATCACCCCTAAATATACGCCAACTGACTTCAGTTAGAACCCAATTATCTCGGTCTTACCATTTATCCGTATCGAATTGAATCTTATTTTATAAACGCTGGGCTCGCTCGACCAAATGGACGTTTTTATTTGGCTTCCGAGCGGTTACTTAAGTGCGCCCTCGAGTGTGCCCCACGACAATAATCACCCGATCGAGCCTCCAGATTGTGCATGTGGCATCGAAGCAACAATTGCCACGGGATCGCATTATTAGGCTATCGTTTTCAGTGTAAATAAAATTGGTTCCATATCTGTTCGTATATATAATACTTTAGGTTTTTAATCGAATTAGTTTCGACAGGAGCTAGGGGATAGAAAACCACTAACTAACTCTCCGCGAAGAAGAAACGGGAAAGAAAAACACTGCTATTCTATGTTATATATACTTTTCCCATTAGCTACGGGAGTTTACTCAGTGTCCCAAATTTGGTCTTAAACCCTTATTGTCAAATAAAAACCCATTATTATACAGACTGACCAACTTTTGTCGAATCAATATTATTTCAAACAAAAGCTATATTAATTGTATCAACTTTCAAATAGTAGCTTATTTATTCATTAAATATAGTACATAATACCACAAGGCACCTAATATACATTAACATTAAGTATTTTAATTTAAATACCATGTTTTTAAGATGAAAGTAATATATTACGATTTTTAAATCAATTCTTAGATCTATACTATTCATATAATTATGTATATAATTAGATTAAATTATATTTTGATTTTAAAATGTTAAATTGGATTCCAGTTTTATACAAAAAAATAAATCAAGGAAAAACGGGAATATTTAAACGAAACCAGTTTTTGACAGCACTGATTTTGTTTTCTTGTTATCATTTAAAAACAAGAAGTGTTCCCAAAATATGTATTTTATCGTTTTCTAGATAATATTATGACATAATCAAAAATATTTTTTATCTCAATTCATGCTATTTATAAACATTAGTAATTTTAGATCTTTTTTCGATTTATGATACATTTTTAGTTTGACTACTTTATTCGAAAAACTTGAAAATGTAATATAACGTTTCAAATGTGTTGCTCTTTCCGCAGTTAAAAAATATCAAAAATACTTCTCACAAATTTTTCCAATCCAAATATCCAATTTTTTAACGACCTCTCCTTAAATGATTTCAGTTATTTTGTGTCCTTGAAATTTTTCACAATAACGTACATAGATTAAGTATAACGTATACGTATACGTATTTTCTATACACAGTGAAATTGTTGAAATAGTTAAACTAATTTTAAGCTTTCCAAAATCGTATTTATATAATTCTTAGATAAGTATTTACTAACTTATAAGTAAGTAACAATAATAAATCATAATATAATTTAATAAAATAAAATAAACCTACCAATACCTACGTTGTTTTTGAATAAATTTTGTGTAATTTAGTTTACCTAATAATATGTATTACTAATTATAGTAACATAAATCAATTGTAAAATATAATAAGAAATTGAAGCTGACACACCTATAACCTCAGACTTCGACTGCAGAGTTCATATAGGTATGCAAAGATTATAATTTATTTCAAATCTAACAGATCATTCTCTTCAGTGACCTACTCAATTTAAGTGGTATATTCAACATAAACTATACGTCTATTCAGCGGTGAATTTTCATGCTTTCTGTGATTCTTAAGACGGTTGGTAATTTTGGGATGGTTGAACATTTTTAAAAAGTATTCGATAGGTAATTGTCCTAATTCATTGGTCACAAACACAGCTGTTATCGTGTCTATAGTGAACGATTATTTGCAGTGTATCCAGCCCCGCCCGTTACTCATCAAGTGCATGCACATGCCATTGCTTCCAATAAAGTAAAATATATTATTCCAACGAGGAACTAATTTATACATAAAAGCCTGACAAAATTACGCCATTACCTACTTAGGATGATAGGATTTCGGTTCTGTGATAATGCTCTGGATGTCATCCAAGCGTCGCGGTCGGTTAAGTAAAGTTATCGTTTTGAACAACTGTATCTTTTTCTTATGAAAAATCAAAATACGGTTATAAATGACAGGGTTCTCAATAACCTAGAAAATAAATCAATAAACTTAAACATATTACATATTCTTCAAAATTATAAAATAAGTCTAATTATGTCTATTGTAATATAATGATATACAATCCTCCCAACCATACAATAATATTATACTATTCTAGATAATAATATTTTAGAAAACATAGTTATTAACGACTTCTATGATTTTAAACATTCAATATTCATGAGTTTATTTACCATTTTGAATTAATTTATTTCAAATCAAATTATAATTGTATTATTCAAATCGATCATACTCGAGAATGAACATTGGGTAGGTCGAAGCTAATACGAAAAATTGGGTATAAACCTGTGCATTAACTAAAAAAAATAAATTAAAAAATATGGGCATAAAAAAATAAGCCGAAAACGATAACGAAACGGAATAATTTACTATCGCTTTTATTATAATATAATTCATCTATACAATGGAAAAAAATTAAATATAATATGAATGGTTTCAAAAATATCCCACGTTGACATTTCAAGGTAAAAAAAGTGCGTTAAATAATATCAATAATTAACCTATAGTTTTTTTTTCTGAATCCATCCAAATACTGCAATGATGATGATAATAATAATTGAATCACCAGTAAAATACTAAAATGACCTCTGTATAGTATAAAAACGATTTCTTCAATTTGTTTCTGATTTTTATTTTTATGGAAATTATAATGTACTATTGTTATTTTAGCTTACAAAATAAAGCATTCATACAAAAATGCACTAGGGTTCTGCAAAAAGCGGTTCAAACCAACAAAGTCAATTAATATTTCACGTATAACAAAAAAGAAAAAAAGAGAATTAATTTTCAAACATAACATTTGAATTTACTCCAGCACTTTTATTATAATACCATTAAATATCGAAAATGTCCTTATTTAATATTGATCGATTCAAAACTATATACAAACATAAAAAAGTAATACAGTTTTATTTGAATAGGTATTTAATTATTTAATCACACTTATTTCGTTAAATACATACGATAATAAATTATTGCGTCATACTTATTTATTAAATCAGAAGTACACGACACGGTACGTAACTAATCTTTTTTTGGAACCTAAAAATAGTAGAGAGGTACTGTATCTGTTTAATGTCGTTCTTGAAAGGGTATTTCAATGGGTCTGAGTTACTTTAAAATTTTAAAAAGTGTAGATTTTTTTTAAGAAATCATTTTAAAATAATAATAATGTAATATATTTACAAAAAAAAAAATGGTCCTCTCTCTCAAAACAAATTTAAATACTGCCTGGTCTGCGTATATATAATTAAGCCTTATTATTCTTTTTATTAATATTTTTTAAAAATAATGCAGTTTTGCAGGTTTATATAAATTAAAAAAATTAAAAAATACTCTTGTTTGTTGAGTTTGGTAGTCTTATGACATTGACGTTTTATACGTTTAAGTATTTAAACATACACAAACTTTACTTATTTTATGTATAATGTAAACAAAATATGGTATGATAAAAGTATATAATGTATAAATTATAAAATTATACTATTATAATATTATCGATTTTACAATCATTTGTATAAATATTAAACTTTTCAAATTTAATTTTGGTTGAGAATTGAATAATTTTAAAATATTTTTTTTTTTTGTTTGCAATAAATAATTTATATTTTATCAATACGACGTGTTTCTATTCAAATATGATATAATTATTTTAAAGGACACATACATGACACCACTTGACTTACCTATCTTGCACAGATAACTGAATTAGAGATTTATACCTACCGTATTGTTATGAGACTGCTGTCGACTAAGTATGTAGTTATACCTATTACTTTAAAATTAGTTGCCCATCGAATTACTTCTGTTACTTCAAATATATTTTATAGAATACTGTCATTGGCATTGGGCAATTTTGTTTCACTGTTAAAATAATGATACGGTTTTATAGTGGCTGCTGTACTTAATCACTTTGCAACACACGAATAACGACGATGTTTTGTTCATTTTTTTTTCTCCCGATATTAAACCAATGCGCATTGGAGGAGTACCTAAGTTTTAAAAATAAATGTGTTTTTTTTTTTAGAACGTCGAGAGTCAGTCGTCTAGAAGCGATGCAAAAAGCTACTTTTAATCGAATTTATACTCCCACTAGTACTAACACCACAACCGCGTATATATGTATAAAAAAAACAAGAAAAACTTTTCCATCACGGTTTGCCGCACATGAAAACGACCATAATCTTTGCACGCCTCTCGTGCGGTTTACTGTTTCTATTTTTGTAACACCTTTTTTACGAGTGGTTTTTTTTAACGCCTATTAATTTCAAGCTCTGGTTTCCTTATCTACTTCCGCGGCTGTTTAAACGGAAATAATTAACAAAATGACTCTCGTTTCCACGGAGCCATTTATTTCGCAAGAAATTGCTACAACATCGCAGCTCACTTATTAGACGAGAAAAATTCTCAGTCTGAGTAATGGAGACTTATTCTAAGAATTTAGTACACGCACCAATGGATGACCTTTGTCCGTTTATGTGGGTGTCATACTGCTTTAAGAGTGCATGCTTACCACTGCAACAGTGTACATTCACGATAAGGGAGGTATTTATTTAGATAGCTACTTGAGGGAACGTCCGGTCATAATTGTTTCTAACAGAGTTTAGAATATTATAATAATAGCCAGATCAAAATGAATATAATATTAGTTATTATTATACTTGTCACATGTCAAAGTTTTATTCTATATTACATTTTCATGATTATTTTTGAATTTTTAATTATTCATTGAGTTGTTATATTCTACAGTACTAGTTTTATTTTTTTAAGAACAAACAAGAATATAAAACATACTATCTGTAATAAAAATTCATACTGTGAATGCGTATGGGAGTGTTTAGGGGAGGGGGTCGAGTATACACAACAAGCTGTTTAAGACAAACTAAAACTGAATTATTCTGACTTCTAGAAATCTGAACACTAAATAAGTTTACATTAAACATCATAAATGTTAAAGACTATATTTGTGAAATTCAGAAAAATTATGAGCCAATAAAGTGGTTCACACATTTTTTTTGTCAGTTGGTTTTATTTGGTATGTATTAAGTTATTATTTCTCACTTTCGTATACATTATAGTGCACAATGGTTAAATAAAAAATCTTCTGCAAAATATGTATCTATAAATTGTTATTGATCAGTTCTAATCTACACGTATGGGCGTGGATCTAGGGACAAGTAAAGCCGCTGAATCTCCTTTTTTGACATATAGCTATTGAACTATGAAGTAATCAATACATTTTCAAGAAAAAGTTAAAACGGATGAAGGTTGGAGATCGGTTAAAAGAAAACTAATTATTTACAATTATTTTTGGCACTATAAAATTGTTCATGATTTCTATAAATATATTATCAAATTTCAAATAGATACTTAATATATTATGGACTAAAATTATAATTGTTGTCTAACCAAAAACGAAATCCCCCCCCCTCTATCACCTTTTCAAATTTTTAGATTTGTTACAGTACTTACATGAATTTAATAGTTAATAATTAATACGAATTTTAAAAATTGTAACCGTCAAATAGCACTTATATTCTTATAAATGATGTACATTGTACTTCCAACAAGAAGTATTACCATTAGGTGGTTTCTTCTATCTAGTAATTTAGTCATCGTCTATTCTTATTGTGTCTTATGGTACCTAAATAATGAATTATTTAAAAAAAAAATTACGCGCTTCCAGAGGATAACCAAAATTATTATTACTTTGTATTTAGCGTAAAACGTCTTTGCCATCTGGATGATAAATAAATTAGTATTAAATTACAGACTAATTAAAAAAACATTCTGACCAAATTTTTTAACCCTTTTGTTTATACTAAACTCGTTTTAATTTAATTCATATTTGATATTTACTTTGCTATAGCAAACTAAAAATTATACACCCTATGTTTGTCCAGGTCTAATTAATTTAGTATTTTACTTTTAATAAAAAGCATAACTATTCGTACCTCATCATCAAGTACTTATATAATAAAACACTGTTGTAGTGAATGTCTTAAATTTAAATTCAATAAATCACGGCTTACAAAAAAAAAATCGATCCTAAGCAAAATAAACCTGGTGGATCATCATCTATTTCTAAGCTTTTAAGCATATTAGTTTATAATAATTAGTAAATATACTTAAGAATTATATTTTATGTATACAGTATTAAAATTATTATTTGTAACTCATTAATATTTAGTGAGTTGAACTATATTTTTCGAAAAATATGGGACATAATCATTAAGTCAATACAGTCATTATTGCCACGCACTGTAGAATATTGTTGTGAATACGTTCGTTGTATAGATAACATTAAATCTGTCTAAATATTACGGAAATATAATCGTGTGGATAATAAAAATTAAATGTTTCAAGTTTCGTTCAATTAATGATTATTATTTTTTGAATAAAAGTGCGTAGTTATGGGATTTATCGTTATTTTTTCGATCGAATAATCTAATTTCATAGACATTTTAACTTTAAACTGTTTTAAAAAAAATTGTGATTGCATTTTCAATATTTTTTAACTGTAAAAATAATACTTATGAGTTATGAAGAACCCATTATGTTAAAAGTTGAAGGTTCTATAGAATTAGAAAAAATATATCAAAATATAATGTCGAGTATAGTCTCGAATATATATCTAGAATTTAAAAATGAATAGCACAACATTGTTTTTTGAAAAATTAATATCATTGAAACTCATCATAGTTTTATATTATATTTTCTAAATGTATTCGTTTATTTTTTTATGTTATAAAGTTATAAAAACAATTAAATAAATCATCGGTTTCAAATTTAGTGTTCTACTGAATCCAAAAAATTGTGGTTTTCATATTAGTTTGAACTACCTAATAGTATATTATATCTAAGTATAGTAGTATAATAAAGTAATAAAAATATACATATTATAACGTATATATCTTTAATAACCAGAACTAAAATCAAAATTCACAAACCCTTTAAATTGTAATGGGATTCATCTCGGGATTTATTTACAACATATCATTTTAATTTATAACGATAGTAGCTGTATGTATAGTTTATTTCTAATATTCGTTAAAAAAAAAACTATTAAGAAATTTTAATTTATTTTTGTATAATTTCTCGGAAATAACTATAGTTTATACTAATATATTTATAGTAATATGTATAAATTATTTGAATAAGTTTTAATTGTTAAGAGTGTAAAATGGCACAAATCGTTACATTTATGTGAACATATCTTAAATTCAAAAAGCATGAAATGGTTTAAAAAAAATAATAACTTGTTTTTATACTCCATCAATAATGCTTATTTTTGTCAGAACAAAATTATTATTAAACCCATCGAATTATGCTGAAGATTTTTGGTGGCGTTATTGTTATGTTATTGAAATGTTTTTTATAATATATTTAAATGCTAGTTTTAGTTCAATGGTTGAATGCCACAAGATTTCATCACAGCAGCTTTTTCCAAGTTCTTGAAAAAACATACTGTTTGTGAATGGTTTTATTTAGTCCCAGTTTTCTTCATCACGAGTTTGCTGATATTAAATATACACTCAAATTATATTGACCAAAGAACATATTATAGTCACTTGGCTATATATGTGAGAGATAAACCCAGAAATGAACTCTTGCGTATATCCTACGTGGATGTTTTCGACCTCCAAGCTCTCTTATAAGCATCCTATCTAAGGTACATTAAATTAATGGTTATTATGTTGCTTAATATTATGAGAAAGTATCCCAATTATTGTTAGTGGTTGTGTTTACATCATACAATGATAGACATGTACAGTTTTACACTTTTACCTATACAACTTGAACTGACTTTAAGCTCAATTTTGTTTTTATTTTAACAAAACATATAATTTTTTTTATATTATACTGAAATCGATTAGACACTATAACAATTATAAATATAAATATGTTACATGACACCTGTATATTATAATACGAACTATATACTATGTACGATCAACGACACAATAATATTAACACACACATAATAATTATATACAATTATTGTAAGGCTCATGGGCCAGGGTTGGAATTTTATAGCTTGTGCATATTTCTTATGAGATGCTTAAAGAATAGCAGAGTAAGGTGAAAATGTGTTTCGTGATACAGAGAACTCAAATTAAAAATTTTATTTTACTTTTTTTTTTGCATATTTTACGATTTTTTAGTTTTTACTGCTTTTTATGTTTTTTTGAGGCTATTTTGCATTTTTACCTGTCTATGAATAAAATCTGTCATATTTTATAAAATATATTTTAGTAAACATGTTTTTAGTTTTTTGTCAATCGAATTATCAAATAAATTGTAAATTTACCTATAGATTAAGTAAATAGACCGATTACGATGATACAACGCCGTACATATATATAGCTATAATATAATACTAAAATAATTTCGTATTCAGTATTTGGTTCTAATTTTTGTTATCTGCTGATTCTGTTGGGTTTTTTTATTGATTTCTATTGCGATTATTAATCGCCGATTATCAACATTGTATAGTAAATTAATTTTATACAGTCGTCTTGTGTACCCGTACTCGTATGTTACGTTGTATTTTCGCCTTTTAGTTTAACGTGTAGTAACCTTGCTTTAAAATGCCAAAAGTTAAATCATCTCTTATCTAAATCCGAGTTCGGTGAAAAGTGTTTAAGGTAGACGACAATGTATTATTTTGTCAATTATGTAAGTGTAAAGTGAACAGTGAAAAAAAATTTAACACAACTCAGCACTTAAAAACACATAAACATATTAAAGCGCCATCAAAATAAAATTTTAATAAAAGTTTCTTACGAGCTACCAAAAAAACTCTTCTAATGTTGATTTATGTAAAGCATATAAGTGGCGAAAATTCCTTTAAATAAATTATCTAATCCAATATTTCGACAATTTCTTGAAACGTAGGTACATGAAAAATCCGATGCCAGATCAAACCGCGTTAAGAAAATTATATGTGGATGATATATATATATATACATTGATTAAATAT